CTCATTGAACTTAGAAAAATATAGAAACTGTGCCATAATTCTTGTGTTGTGTGCCTTGAATATAAACAGAAGAAATTTAAAGAGATAAAATTTTGTTTTAAACTTGGGCAAGGCATCTTTGCCAAGGTCCCTGAAAACAAAGAAGGCAAAAAAAGGCTGCAAAATGGAAAAATCTGAAATCAATACTGACAATGGTAGCACTACTACTACCGAAGATATGATAAGTGAAACCGGTAAAAAGAAACATAGAACCAAAAGAAAAAAGGACAAAAATGGTATTAGTGATAGTGACACGGAAGCACAATACGAAATTATAAAACTCAAAGCATTCATTGACGAAATAATGAAAGATCGCGAAAGGTGTTACGCCTGCATTAATGAACTTGAAAAAACTCTAAAAGCAATGAAAGAAAATTGCCAACAACAAAAAGAAAATAACCAAAAAGATGAAAGCAAGTTGATAACAGTGAAATCAACAAAAGAAATAAATGAAAATAAGAACAATCAAAAACAAGAAACAAAATACAATAACGATGAAAATAAACAAATCAAAGGAAATAATCAACAATTAAATAAAACAACACCTAACAACAACAACGTATCAACACATAACAACGAAATGGACACTGATGACTGGATTGCCGAAGTAAGCCGTGAGGAAACAGCAACAACCCCTGGAAATCAACTAAATCCTAATCTGGAAAACATCAACACCCAGCTAAACAAAAATATCAACAAAGCTAATACAGGTAAGGCCAGCCCACCTATTATTAAAATATCAAAAACTAATATTAGGCAATTAGCACTAAATCTCAAAAAAAAAAAAACTCTAAAAAATTACCATTTCACTATAAATACCTTACAAAAGAAAATGATTGAACTTAAAGTAACTAAAATAGAGGATTTTTATACTGCAAAGGAATTTCTTGATAAAGAGAAGATACCGTACTTCACGTACACACCTAAAGATTTAAAACCAAGAACATTAATATTAAAAGGTATATCTGAGAACTGGGAAAAGGAAGATATAGAAGGATTCATATTTGACAAAAAACTCAATATTGATATAAAATCAATAATTAAATTAAATGGTGATCGATGGCTTGTGCAGATAGATAATTCTACGGACTTGGCAGTGTTTAAAAAACTTCAATATTGTCTGTACCAGAACATTACAATTGAAAAATATAAAAAAGAGGGTCTTATTCAGTGCCGTAATTGCCAGGGACATGGACATATTTCTACGAATTGTAGAATGCCGTACAGGTGTGTCAAATGTCCTGGTAATCACGGACCAGGGGAATGTCCAATTCCCCCAAAAGAACTCAATAACAAGGAACAAATAAATGTTGACCCAGTAACAGGGGAAATTTCAAAAACATATGGCATTCCTGTGTACTGCTGCAATTGCAAACAGACAGGACATGTTGCAAGCTCAAAAGTATGCCCTGTAAAAATAAGGCTATTAGAAAAGTTAAAAGAGAGAAAAATGTTTAAAAGTCAACCAACAATAAATCAACAGGCAAGTGTGAAAATAACTTCACCAAACGTAAGTAAAGATGTACTGTATTCCAGCATTGCAAAGACGGGTACAAGCGTGCCTAAAAACACACCACCACAGAATACAAAATCGGACGAATTTATGCAAATATTTGATTCAGACTGCAAAAGGCTACTTGGTAAAGACTTCTTTACCTGCCTTCAAAAAATAGGTTCGCATGTAGAACACTATAAAAAATTAAATACGGACGAAGAAAGGACAAGATCTCTTTACCAACTGTTTACAAGCCTTAAATTATATGACTAATCTAAAAATAATTTTTGTAAATGTAAATGGAATAGTGTCTAGGATAAAAAGACACTATTTAAATATTTTTGTACTAAGACATAAACCAGACATTCTCATGCTGGCTGAACATGGCCTCCAAGCCAAACATAAATAAAGCATTAATGGCTACAATATATTTAGACAACATAAAGTAGGCAGTACCAAGGGTGGGACAGCTATTTGTATCAAAAATAAACTAAAATGTGAAAGAATTTCTATAAACTTCACTAAAATGGAGGGCACTGTGGTCAAGGTAAGGGACATAAATGGAAGAAATATTATCTTCATGTCTCTTTACCAACGGCCTCGAGGATTAAACTTATTAGACTTAGAAACCATTAGCGGAGTAATAGCCGCAAATGAAGCAGTTATTGGGGGAGACCTAAACGCAAAACATATAGAATGGGGTGGGAATGAAACTAATGCTTGTGGTAGATTATTAAGGGAATGGCTAGAAAATCATCCAAGCTTAAGTATTAGAGCAACAAATGAACCAACCAGAATATGTGAGACTACGCAATCATACATAGATATATTTATGGCAACACCAGGGCTATGGATTCAGGATAGACCAATAACTTTAGACTTCGAGTCTGACCACAGAGCCATAATGTTACAATTATCGGCAGTAATAGAAAATCAACAGATAAACAAAATTTTTGATTACAATAGCCTAAATAAAAGACTATTTAACAACACACTAACTAGGCAGCTACAAAACTTAACACTCCCTATTGATATGAACATTAATAGAGAGCAAATAGACACAGCATTAGAAACATTGACAGATGCAATAAATATAGCAATGGAAACGGCTATGACTCAATTTGTCCCAACTGGAGACACCTTATCAAAACTTCCCCAGGATATTTTGCATTTAATTGCCCAAAAAAAGACAACTCGAAGGAGACTTCACAGAATAGTTGACCCACAGGAAGCAATAACGCTGAAAGCAGTTATTAAGAACATGAGCCAATTGATTGGACAAAAAATAAAGCTATTTGAGCAACAAAAATTAGTTGAAAAACTAGAAAAAATAAAGCCGAATAAGGATATGTTCAAACAAATAAAAGGGCTAAGTGGGAAACTATATACAAATAAAGTAGACTACCTAGATGAAGATGGAAGACAAATAACTTCAGAGACGGACAAGGCTAATGTCATGGCAAAATCATTTGCTAATATCCAAAGCTCTAATTCATGTAATATAATTACTCCAGATTTAATTGTTTCAAATGAGCCCATGACGCAGTTTGGAATAAATTATATGGCAGATGGAAGAAATCTGAATTCCAACAATAGTCTACCTATAAGACTCACTAACTCAAATGAAATAGGGAATATTTTAAAATACATGAATAATAAAAAGTCAACAGGAGACGACAAGATCCCAAATTACATTTTAAGAAAGCTGGACCATAGGACTTGTACGATAATAGCCATATTGTTTAACCAATGCCTAAACATTGGCTATTACCCAAAGAAATGGAAAACTTCAAAAGTTATTCCCATCCTAAAACCAGGAAAAGATCCCACAAAAGCCTCAAATTATAGACCAATTTCACTATTATCCTGGTTAGGTAAATTGTTCGAAATAATAATTTTGGACAAATTAAATGAACATATTATGAATGATAATATTCTGAAAGCCAATCATTTTGGCTTTCGAAAGCAACTTGCAACCACACATGCACTCTTATCCATTAACGACAAAATTATAAACGGGTTAAATAGCAGAAGTGCAACTATTGCAGTTAGCTTAGATTTTAATAAGGCATTTGACACGGTATCCAGAGAGGGCATAACCAACAAAATGCAAAATACGTATAAATTCTGCCCATTACTTACAAAAATTATCCAAGACTACCTACAAGATAGACAATTTTATGTATGCTTTGAGGGAGCAAAATCTCAAACTCAATCTGTGAGAAGTGGAGTTCCTCAGGGTTCGGTACTGGGACCAGTCCTCTATAATTTATACTTGGCTGATATTCCACAACCCCCAAATGATATGCTGCTATTAATATACGCAGATGATATATTGATAGCAGCAACTCATGCTAGAGCTAAAATAGCCAATAACAAAATAAATCAATATCTTGAAGTACTAAAGCAATACTTTGATAAATGGAATTTATCAATTAATACTGAGAAAAGTATGGCAATAATATTTAAAGGAAAAGGCTGTAATCTCTATAAAAATGCCAGGAGCTACATACCAAAAATAAACATAGGAGGCGTGATATTGTCCAATACTGAAAAATTAAAGTATCTGGGGGTAATATTTGAACAAGGTATGAGTTACATCAGGCATGTGGACTTAGTAATTAAAAAGGGAAGGATGGCTTATCAAGGCTATCAATGGCTATTTGGCAAAAAAAGAGGACTAAGTACCAAAATTAAACTACTAATGTATAAACAATTAGTTAGACCAACAATGAGTTACGCCTTCCCTGTGTGGGCATTTATATCCTCTCATCAAATGGAGAGGATTAGAATTTTTGAAAGAAAAATATTAGTTCACTGTCTTGGTCTGGGCAGACAGCTCACAGAGCAGGGATATTACAAAAGCAGGGATATATAAAAATGGATAGATTCGATAGGTTCACTGTAAAAATGGCCATAGAATTTCTACAAATATGCACAAGCCACAGCAATCATTTAGTAAAAAATTTAACAATAAGTAACGAAGATTTTATAAGACTTAAAGCATCAAATAAATACCTCCCAGCTCTGAGCTTATTACATTTGCATAACTCTGGTGGACTATATAATCCAACAGGACAGCTAATGTTCTACCATAGACGACATAAATCATACAATATCAATGATATAGTATATCGTTATGACCAATAAAATAAAAATATATGTAAATTAATAACTGTACATATTTTATTCTTGTTTTGTTTATTTGTTATCTTAGTTTTTAAGTATTCGTATAACTTGTGTTTTCCCATTTTCACAAGGAAAATAAATAAAAGACTATAATTAAAAACCTAATATTGAACGGGCTGGCCTTCCACGTAGTTTATTCCATATTTTAATTAAAATTAAAAAATCTAGATAAGTGTGAAAACACGTTAGATATAAGATATATAGAAATACGACTAGAATAAGAAATAAATGTAATGAATTTTTTTTGGGAAATAAATAAAAAGCAAAAAAAAAAAACAGGCAACGTTATTACAGTGTTTTCAGTGTTTGTGTGCATATCTCTAGTGAAGTGAAAAAATTCAAGTGAAAAATGGCTCGTACTAAGCAAACTGCCCGTAAATCGACCGGTGGAAAGGCTCCCCGTAAACAACTAGCCACCAAAGCTGCCCGTAAGAGTGCCCCAGCCACCGGCGGTGTTAAGAAGCCTCATCGTTTCCATCCTGGTACAGTTGCTTTGCGTGAAATCCGTCGTTACCAGAAGAGTACTGAATTGTTGATCCGCAAATTGCCCTTCCAGCGTTTGGTTCGTGAAATCGCTCAAGATTTCAAAACTGACTTGCGTTTCCAGAGCTCTGCTGTTATGGCTTTGCAAGAAGCCAGCGAAGCCTACTTGGTTGGTCTTTTCGAAGATACTAACTTGTGCGCCATCCATGCTAAGCGTGTCACCATCATGCCTAAGGATATCCAATTGGCCAGACGTATTCGTGGAGAACGTGCTTAAATTCTTGACGTTTTAAATGCAACAATTTTACAACAAAACAATCGGTCCTTTTCAAGACCACAAATATTTTACACAAAAGATATATTTTTTTACTCAATCTTCAATTTTTAGTATTTTTTTGAAATAAATAAAAAGAATTTAGGGCTTTGATTATTTTTGAAAATTTAAAAAAAATAAGTATTTTTTGATGTTGGTTTTTTTCCTTGATTATTTTTCGTTTATTTTATTTTGATCGAATATTTTATTTTTTTTTAATTTTATTTGAATTTTTTGAATTATCCATTTTGATATTTTCCTTTAATTTGCAAAATTATTATCATTTTTGTACTCCCTCTTCGAAAAAAATTCTATGACTCATAAAAACCACCACCACATATATTTTTCTAACGGGATTTCTTTGTCCATTTTCTTTTATTTTATGCCCCTTCGATCATTTTTTTTTCTGTTGTGGACTATTCAATTTAGTGGGAAAAAATTCTCTGCCTTTAATTTATACGAATTATTTCATGTGAATTTTAAAAATTTCCAGCTAAATTTTTGCCCCTCCTTTTTAATTTTTTTCAGGAATGATGTATGAAATATGTTTTATTCCTTTTCAGCAAAATTTTTAAATTTTTTAAAAGCATTTTAAGAGATTTGTTTATGAATTTTCTCCGTATGGAATCACAAAATTATTTTTGTCCGATGTATTTAGAGAAATTGGTCATAATTTATTATTTTCAAAAATCGAAGAAGAAAATAATTGATTTGTTGAGAATTTTGATGTAAAATATAATTTAAAGTATTATAAAAAGAAATGCCAATAATACCTGCCCTCAAAGTTGATCGAAAAACAATTTTGTAAAACGCAATTAATTTCATGACATTTCCAAATGTTCTAGGTGATATTTGCCTGTAAAGAGGAATTTCTTTTTGGGAATATTTTTTTCATAAAATTAACAAAAATTTGACAAAATAACTTAGAAAATGGCTTCTAATACTATTTTTAATAAATTTTAGAACAAATTATGTTAAATTTCATAAAAAATATTGCAAAATGAAAATACATAACCGTTTGTCACTGAATGCCTGTACATTGGTAGTATGAAGTATTCTGGGGATTTTGTAACTTTTCCCCGTAAATTATGACTTTTTATGAATAATGTTATATTTTGATGTAAATATACAAATTCTGAAATGTTTTTTAAGAAATTTTTATAAAACTTATTAAGATTTGAGCTTTCAAATTTATTTCAAGAAAAACTTTTCTTCATTGAAATTATGCCAACAAGAGGATTTCTGCTGTCATAGACCACATAATAATTTCAATTTTTTCACATTGTAAAATATGAAATTTCATCGATATTTTTCTTTGATCCTAAAGTAAACATATCAGGCTACATTTTCAAAAAGAATTTTCAATTAAATTTTCATGAAAAATTCGATTTTTTTAAATTTTAGTTGGAAATTTGTGATTACATTTTTATAATCTGCCAAGTTAAACGTTTATAATTCACAAACGGCAAGTGATAATTACACCAAACTTTCTTTAAAACATAGTCTATACTTTAAAGTTATAAAACATTTTTAGTGAAAATTATCAAAGCTTCTTCAGGAAAATTTAATTTCTCCGAAAACTTTTGTAAAAAATTAAACACGCTTCCACACAATCTTTCGAAAAATTTACCAATTGACTACTATGCACATCTCATCTTTTCGATGTACCTACACTTTAGCTCGCCGCTAACAAAAATAATAGTACACATAAATTTGTGAGTGTATTTGTGTTAACAGTGAAATATAAACCAAACAGTGAATAAGTGAAGTTAAATTGTGAGGACAAATCTCACCATTAAAGAGATAAAATTTTTGCCTTCAAACTTCTCTGCGAAAAATTTGTCAGAAGGTGAACGGCAGGCTTCTCTGCCGTCGGCAAACACTCGCAAGCCGAAAAACCACCACCTGCAACAATATCTACTGCCAATACAGATATTGAAATAGAGGACCCATCTGATAAGACAACTGATCTGATGGAACATAAATCTACCGCATCAGTGGATGATTGGACAACAGTCAAAACAAAGCCGTCTTTGAAACGTAAAGGTACTACACCAAGCGAAAATGCACAGTTGGAAGCCGTTATTGCCCAACTTCACCGAAAGATGACAAATCTCGAAAGCAGAAATGAATCACTGTCAGCCGAAATTGCATTATTAAAAAACATACAAATTGAATCTGCCAAGCAACTAACATCTGCCCATTCCCGAGAAATGAGCTATAAACGTATTATAGCACAAATGGAAAAAGAACATGCTTCAACAAACGTACATATGAGCAGTATACCAAAAAAAGTTGAAGAGGCCATATTAAGGGTGGACCCCACTGTCACAGTGCCAGTGCAATCTACAGTGGAGACACCACCGGAACCACGCATTAACGTGCTGAGCGCAAGCCGAGTGCCAGCGAAGATGAAGGAAGCCAAAGTTGCGGCCAAAGCAACTACACTATTTGCCAACTCCGAGGCACAACAAACAACAACAACAAAGGACAACATTGCTGCTACAACAGGCTCAACTCTTAACACAAAGAAGAAACCTAAGCGCAAAGTCAATATTATCTCCCAAGAATCCAACATCGACATGGACACCAGTGAGGAAATTCCTGAAACCACCAATGACGTATCATCGGCTATTTCTGGAAGAAAAAGTAAGTTTGTTCCTATGATTATAACTTTAAATGTAAATATAAAATCTGTGACTAATGACATTAGAGAATTGTTAGGGCATAATAATTTTTCCATCAACATTGTTAGTGGCAAAAAGGCTAATTTTCAGCTACAATCAGCTGAGGACCATCAGAGGGTGAGAGCTCTCTTTGTCGAAAAGGGGGTAGAATTTCTCACATTCTCTCCAAAACATGAAACCCCCCACTCCATTGTTATGGAGAGACTGTCTTCAACCTATGATAAGGTTGACATAGAAGCCGCTTTGGCTAACCTTGATATGAAACTTGAGGTTAAAAATGTAGTTAAGCTAGGCTTTGAAAAATGGCTCATATTTTTGGGCAAAGGTTCGGAAATTAACAAATTCTACAAAATTCGTTGGTTTCTAAATTGTAGAATTCGATTAAAAAAAGACAAGAAGAAGACATTGCCGCAATGCCGAAATTGCCAAGCTCATGGCCACGTTTCCAACAATTGCGGTAGACCATATAAATGTGTGAAATGTGCCGGACCACATGGCCCTGGCAACTGCCATATTCCTAAGGGCGTACACAAACCAAAAATGGTTATGGTCACTGATCCCCTTACCGGGGAAACTAGAATGGAACCCGAATTTGTATTTAAATGTGCAAATTGTAATAAAGAGGGTCATCCTGCTAATTCAAAGCAATGCCCCATTAAAAAGGCTCTTCTGGCCAAATTAAATAACGCTAAAGTTGAAAAAGCTGAAACACCTAAGAAAAATTCTTTTCCACTAAACAGTGGAAAAGTAAAACCCGGTGTAACATATGCCAGCTCATCAAAACAAAATGCCAACATAGGCAACATTCAGCACACAACGGTAAATACAAATCAGGGACCGATGTGTGAAGCTATGGATTCATTTGAAAAATTCAATGAAATATGTACCAAAAACTTTGGTAAAGACTTCTTTACCTGTCTAAATAAGGTACGTAGATATGCCAAGGACATTAATAGTTTAAATGAGGATAGTCAAGCAAAAGCTATGGTTGGCATCCTAACTTCTCTTGGTTTTGATGATTAGACAACTTAAATGTATTTTCGCCAATATCAACTCTCTTGTGTCGAGATCTAAGAAACATCAATTTCGATTATTTCTTGATGAACACCGACCGGATGTGGTGATGTTGGCGGAGCATAGATTGTCTGCCCATCAAAACCTGGAGATGGAAGGATACAATATTTTTATTCAAAAACGTAGACAAGGACCTGGTAGAGGTACAGCCATTCTCACCAGAGATACTTTTAGAAGTGAGCTAGTAAATATAAATACTGGCATTATAGAAAATAGCTGTGTTAAATTATTTAGGACAGATGGATCATCGCTTCATTTTGTGAGCCTGTATTGCAGGCCTGCTGACGTCTTCGAAGCAGCCGATCTGGAGCCCCTGCGCCATCTGGCCTCTGAGGGTGAACTTTTAATTGGCGCTGATCTAAATGCCAGGCATATTAATTGGGGAGGAAACACTATATGTTCTAGAGGCAGAATGGTGTATGATTTTATTTAGGTTGCCCTGACCTTATAATCGTTCCCACGGGAGGGCCGACTAGGATAAGTAGGGACAGTAGTACCTATATAGACATATGTATAGCTTCGCTGGGCATATCCATCGATGATAATAGTGGGCTGGGGCTGAGTACCATTGATTGTAATTCAGACCACCTAGCTATTGTAATGCAAGTGCATGGAATAGACCCTGAACATAGGGAAAAACGCAAAATTTTCAACTATAAAAAAATAAACAAGCGTAGGTTCAACAGAATTTTAGATGAACAATTACCTGCTTGTCGCATTGCGGCAGATAGAAATGCATCTATATATGAAATAGATAATGGTATTGAAAAGATGACGTCTATTTTTCAATCAGCCATGGTCGACACCATCCCCAAATTTTCACCTGGTGCTAGGGGCCTCCGCCCCCTACCAGACAATATTCTTAATCTGATAAGGGAAAAGAAACGTCTAAGAAGAACCCTCTTTCGTACAGGAAATCCCAGTCGATACGATACCATTAGGGCAGAGATTAATAACCTCAATAAAATGGTTCAGGAATAGATATCAGTGCACGAATGTGAGCATTGGACCAACTTCCTGAATAATATAAAAATGGACAATAGGGTCTACAGCAAGGTAAAATCTGCAGCAGGTTGTAAACGTAACCCAATTCCAGATCTTGTGGACGAAAATGGCTTCATCTTTACGGCTGAAGAACAAAAAGCTAATTTTATTGCTGACGGCATACAAGGCAACATATTACCTTCTAGTCCACAAGACTCTGCAATCAACAGCATTGAGAGGGAATTTATGACAAAGACACCAATAGTCAATTTTTCACAAAATTTACTAGCGGACGGTTCGAATGGTGGTTCAATAAATAATCTGAGGCTTATATCTCCTGCAGATATAGGTTCTGCAGTAAAAGCCAGACCTAATCGCAAATCCAGTGGTGTTGACGGTGTTCCTGAAATCGTCTTGAGGAACACTGACAACTATACATGGATAAATCTTGCGATAATTTTCAACCAATGTATAAATTTGGGATATTTTCCTAGGGAATGGAAAATAGCCATAACTGTCCCAATTTTAAAGCCTGGTAAGGACCCGACCAATAGGAATAGCTATAGGCTCATCAGTTTGATTTCGGTCTTTGGAAAATTACTGGAATATTTAATTTTAAGAAATATTTCTAATGAAATTGAAGACAAAGAAATACTCTCTGATTGCCAATTTGGCTTCAGAAAAGGATTATCTACGTCTCATGCTCTCTCTGTTTTAGGTGATCATGTTTCTAGAGCACTAAATCGCAGGCATATAACCATAGGGGTTAGTCTAGACTTCTCTAGAGCGTTCGACAATGTCTGGCATAATGCCATAGTCTACAAAATGAAGAGTTTAAATTTTTCTCATTTATTTGTAGACTAGTATACGACTTCCTTCAGTCTAGGAAATATAAAGTAAGGATAGGTGATTCGCATTCATCCGCCAGAGAAATATACACGGGAGTCCCTCAAGGATCCTTGTTGGGCCCCGTTCTATTCAATATATTTCTGTGCGACATCCCTCTGCCCACCGTGAGTGACTTACTTCTCATCTATGCAGATGATATTTTTATAGCCGCCTCGGGGGCACATGCATACAACACAAACATACGTCTGAACGAATATCTAGAGAACCTCTCTGTATATTTCGACAGATGGAAAATGTGTCTAAATATTGGCAAATGCGAGGCCATTGTTTTCAAAGGCCTAAAAAAATATCTGTACCCCAGCTCTAGAGGGTTTGAGGCAACCCCATGCATTGGCGGACAGTTGGTACATGTGTCTGAGGAGCTCAAATACCTTGGAGTGGTATTCCACTCTAATTTTGAGTTCGTCAGACATGTTAACCATATTCTAGAAAAAGCCAAAAAACTATTCTGGGCTTTTCAAAGAATAATATGCCGAACTGGCGGTCTATCCCTCCCGGTGAAATTGTTAATTTATAAGCAGATAATAAGACCAATAGTGGCCTATGCGTTCCCGGTTTGGTACGGAATATCTTCCCATCAGATGGAGAGAATTCGAATCTGGGAAAGGGGTATCTTACGGTCTTGCCTTAATCTAAAACATCATTTGGGTCAGGATGGGATATGGCGATTGCCCCCAAATTATTTAATATACAAAGATCTCCCATTCAAAAGGATTGATGTCTTTTTGGCGAAGAGTGCTCTCAACTTTCTACACAAAGCAACTTACTGCGAAAACGCTTTGGTTGCAAGAAGTCTTGAAAACAGCTTCCCACATGTTGATGGACTATTGGAGGCAAATTACCATCCTCCAAATAGCCTTGAAATCCTCAATAATGAAGGCCTTTTATTTAATGAAGACCAACTAGTGTTTTACCATCGACGGTACAAAACATTCGACTTATACAACACCGTCTACCAATTGGAACAATAGCCGATGATACGTCCTCTGTATATATTTATATAATTATTATTTTAAGTGCCTAGTTTTTAAGTAGTATGTAAGAATCTAAAACAAAAATTGATAAGATACTCCTTTTTTAAGATTATTTTTTTGGGAGATAAAGAAATAAAATTCTTGTTGAAATTATTCAAAGATAAATTAATAATATTAATTTTTAGAATTAAGTATAGGTTGCATACCTGCTGCAACCTATGTATGTATATACGTAATTATAAGATAGACTTAGATAAATACTAGTATGCTAAGTACAAATATTATTTTTTAATATTACTTAAGGTTAGGCGAAAGCCAAAAAAAAAATGTAATGAATATAATCTCAATAAATTGAACTTGAACTTGAACGCCGCTAACAAAAATAATAGTACACATAAATTTGTGAGTGTATTTGTGTTAACAGTGAAATATAAACCAAACAGTGAATAACCATGTCTGACGCCGCCGTTGTTGAAGCCACCGCCTCCCCAGTTGCCGCTGTTGAGAAAAAGGCACCAAAAAAAGCCGCTGCCAAAGCAAAGAAGCCATCAGCTGCCCCTACCCACCCTCCAACCCAGCAAATGGTTGATGCCGCAATCAAGACCCTGAAGGAACGTGGAGGTTCATCATTGCCCAAAAATTGGCCCCCTTCATCAAGAAGTACTTGAAAGGTGCCGTTGCCAGTGGAAAATTGATAAAAACTAAAAGTAAGGGTGGTTCTGGTTCATTCAAATTGTCTGCTTCGGCCTCCAAGGAACCCAAAGCCAAGACTGCCGAAAAGAAGAAAGCCAAGCCAAGAAACCCGGTACAGTTAAAGCTAAACCAGCAAAGACCGCCGCCAAAGCATCTGCCACTAAACCAAAGGCACCCAAGGCAAAAACTGCAGCTGCTAAGCCCAAAAAGGCTGCAGCAGCAAAGAAGCCAGATGCTAAGAAAGCCGCCGCCAAGAAGTAATTTTTCCCAGAAAGATTACTTTTTCCACAATATTTTCGATATTCGAAGACATACTATCTAACAGCCCTTTTCAGGGCTACAAATTAAATTAAAAAAGAGAAAAATATTTATTTTCAACAGTTATCGTATATATTTTTGTTACCTAAATAAATAAGTAAATTTGTACACGTGTTTGATTTTGGGAAAAAATTACTATCGCTAATTACTGTTCTTATTAGGTAATTTTATTGAGCCAATATAATCGTGGACGCCACTGGATTATTTTTTAACCCAGGTCATAAAAGATAATAAAATATTTTAAATTTTTCCTAATTACCCACAGGTCATAATTCTCGAAAATCCCCATATTTTGGTCATTTTTATAATTTCTACTTAATTTTGAAAAATTTGTCATTTTCATATTCTCTGTCAAATTTCACAAATTTCATCCAAAAATGACATTTTGGCAAAATATTTACATTTTCCATCAATACATTTTTTCCTTTGAAAATTTATGCCTCAGCCTTATATTTCGTTGCTTTGCCGTTGTGCTGTATCAAAATGCTCACACATACATGATGCCCATTCGATGTTGATCAACGACGACAAGGCAAATCACCACTAACACACGCACACATATACGACGACGATGGCTGTTATAGCATATCGCACAAGCAATGGCTAAACATAGGCACATATGCGAGTTAGCTAAATGCATGGAAAAATCATTGTATAGAGAAAAATATATTTGTTATGGAATTTTATTCGTTTATTACTAAATAATGATAAATTGTAGCTTCAACAAAATATGATCTCTTTTGAAATGTTTTTTGTGGCCCTGAAAAGGGCCTTTTAAGGTAGTATTTCGACGCAAAATGAAAAATATCAAGACATTTACTTGGAGCTGGTGTATTTAGTAACAGCCTTGGTACCTTCACTGACGGCGTGCTTAGCCAATTCACCGGGCAACAATAGACGGACGGCGGTCTGGATTTCCCGACTGGTGATGGTCGAGCGCTTGTTGTAGTGGGCCAAACGAGAGGCTTCGGCGGTAATACGTTCGAAGATATCGTTGACGAAACTGTTCATGATGCTCATAGCCTTGGAGGAGATACCGGTGTCGGGATGGACTTGCTTCAACACTTTGTAAATGTAGATAGCGTAACTCTCCTTACGCTTGGTACGTCTCTTCGACTTATCGCCCTTGGTAATGTTCTTTTGGGCTTTGCCGGCCTTTTTTGCTGCTTTACCACTGGCTTTAGGAGGCATTTTCACTTATTATTATTTTTTTTTTTTTTTTGAATCACACAAACACTTTTAACACTGTTCACAAATGATGAACCAAAACGGTTTGCTTTTGCTTTTGCTTTTAAATTTGCCATTTATTAATCCATATATTGTTACAAAGAAAATATTGGCTTATTTTAAATTCAATTTAATATATGCTTGGGATTTTTGAAATCTCTTAAGCCTAGGTATATCAATTTACATATAACAAGTTGATTTTGTTATAATAGTGTAACAGTTTTACTGTTTACACATCATCATACATTTTTAAGTTAATGGTCGTTAGTAGTAGCTCAAAAAAGGATTATTAAAAAGAGCTAGTTCATATAGTTTTTTGAAAATTTGTCTTAAATCTAATCTTAAATCTAGGCTTAATACTAATCTTAAATCTATACTTAAACTACAATTATATACAATATTTACATAATAATACATACATTATTGTGAGGTAATGTACACTGTGTCTGTAATATTAAATGTTTTGTACCTTCTATGGTAGAATAGGAGATTACTATTATTATCATAAAGTATTCCTTCGTCTCGAAGCTTAGTAAGGTCGGCGGGAGAGAGATGTCTTTTTTCCAGAATGGTAGGGTCGTCATTGCTTATTAATGAGCTCCTTATCATCTCGTTGTTAATATTTTGACTTTTTTCTACAAATTTAAGGCCACTTTTGACCAAAAATCTGTCAATGCGTCGAAGGCCAGATCTCTCATAAACTTCCTTATTTGATGGCATTTTAAATGATCCATCAGACAATATAAAGCCACGCAAACCTAAACAAGCCCGCAATATAGCACGTTCCCATATTCTTATGCGTTCCATCTGGTGTGAAGATATTCCAAACCAGGATGGGAACGCATATGAAATTATGGGTCTAATGACTTGAGTGTATATTAATAGTTTGACCTTTATAGGAAGGCCGCCACTCATGCTTAATACTTTATTGTATGTAAAATAGACTTTTTTAGCCTTTTTTAACACAAAATCTACATGTCTGCAGAAGTCAAACCTGTCGTGGAATAATATTCCAAGATATTTCAATGTGTCGTATGTTTGTATCACACCATCGCCAATTCGCACATTGGGAACAAAATGTCGAAAATTTTTGTAAACTAACCCTTTTGTGCCTGTAAGTACAATTGATTGGCATTTCGCAACATTCAGTTGGAGTTTCCATCTATCGAAATATACACTTAATTCTTGCAGATAAGTGTTCATTTTTCTATTGACCGCTTTTGCGAGAGGTCCTCTGAAGGCAATAAGTACATCGTCCGCATACATTAGAAGAAGTCCACCTTGGGGTGGTCCAGGGATATCACTTACATAGATGTTATATAGTAGGGGTCCCAAGATAGATCCTTGTGGTACGCCTGCTAATACCTGTCTTTGACTTGATCGTTTTTCACCCACTTTAACCTTGAAATGTCTCCCATCAAGAAAGCTTTTCACCATACTACAAATGTGTTCACTAAAGCCGAAAGACTGTAATTTGTAGATGATTCCCTGTTGCCATACCCTATCAAATGCCTTAGAAAAATCTAGGCTGACAGCCAAAGTTCCATTTTTTTTATTTAGCCCCTTCGATACATAGTCCGTAAAACAGGCAAGAGCGTGTGTTGTACAGTGCCCAGGTTTAAAACCAAATTGACAATTTCTCAGGATATTTCTATCCTCAATATCACGCTTGATTCGTTGTTGTATTACCATTTCCAGAATTTTCCCAAAAAGTGAAAGTAGCGAAATCGGTCTATAGTCGCTACAATTTTCCGGATTCCCCCCCGGTTTTGGGATTGGGACCATTAAAGCCACCTTCCACGCTCTAGGAAAATAGGAAAGGTTTAAGCAGTGATTAATGAGCACTGCCAAAAATTTGAATACCACGTCTCCTGCCCGCTTCAGGGCTATATCTGGTATATCATCAATGCCACAGGCTTTCTTGGATGGTCTTCGGGATATAGCCCATTTTATGTCCCCTGGTTTAACAAAACCAATCTCATACCATTGAGTCCTGTTCACGAAAACCGAGCCATCAGCTAGATTGTTCATATTGAAGTGTACCAGTGGTGAACCGCTACTAATTCCATCTATAGCCTCATTTATGAGGTTATTAAATGAGCTGTCATTAGGAAAATCGCTTGTTTGGTAATTGCTTTCTATATTGTTAGCTATTATTTCTGCTTTGGCTAAATCTTCACAGACGATGCTACCATCGTTACTAACCAGGTCACCTACAGAGTTTTTACCCGATATACCAACTGCCATCTTTACTTTTGAATAGGTTTTACTGTTGACTTCTATGTTCTGCAGCATAGATTTTCGGCGATTTCCTTCGAATTCATAAATCATACCCTCTATTATTCTGCTGAGGTTTCGAATATCAGCCTTTAATATTAACATTCTATCTGGGTCATGCGACCTTTTTAAAGCTCGATTAAGCCTTTTACGTTCTTTTATAAAGTGAAGTATTCTAGAAGGTAGTTCTCCCAAAGTTCCCTTTCTACGAGATCTTTTTGGAACTGCTTCCTGAATGGCATTTCTAAAGACTGATTCTAATTCAGCTACACAATCATCAATATTGTTAATCGTAACATTATTACTAGTAGGTAACATATGATGTGCTAGTTCTACATGTAATCTACGCCTGAAACGATGGATGTTCATATGGTCATAATCGTAAAACTTCTGAACTATCCCCCTTTGTACATCATTTACATTTATAATCAGCCTAACTGCTCTGTGGTCAGACTCAAAATCCAGTGTAGCTAATTGATTTCCACCTTCTGGAATAATGCCTGGAGAATGTAGAAAAAAGTCTATATGTGACTCACCTGTCCCATTAGGTCTAGTAGGCCTATGAGTGGAACAAGCCATTAAATTTGGGCAAAGAGTTATAAAATTTTCAAGTTTTCTACCCCTATCATTTGTTTCATTCCCTCCCCATAATGGGAGTTTTGCATTCAAATCTGCTCCTACAACAATTTCACTTGTGTTGCCTAAGTCTACAATAGCATTAAGATCATTTACCTGAAATCTTTCACCTGGTCGTTGGTATAGGGAAATGAAAGTAATGGGTGTACCATCACTCTTCCATATTCTGGCAGCACATGCTTCTATATTCCCACAATTTAAATAAAATCTTTCGCATTTATGCTTTTCTTTTACAAGAACTGCAGTCCCTCCCCCCATGCCTTCGACTCTATCGCAACGAAATATTTTATAACCATTAATATAAAAATTATGCTTTGCAGACAATTTATGCTCCGCCAATAACAACACATCCGGTTTATTGTTTTTTATAAAAATATTGAGATAATGTCTCTTGGCCAATGAGATACAAGAGTTTATGTTCAGAAAGAAGCAAATAAGTGAATTAGTCATCGATACTACTCAATGCGAATATCATGCCAAGAGTGGCTTGGGCTTGCCCCTCTGTCTCTTTTAATCTTCGGTATTCTGGTATGAATTTAACCACTTAACTTATGACTAAACTCAAGTTGACACCAAATGTCTTTTGACAATCCTCCGATACGGTAGAGAATATGTCCAAAATACCCTCATTTTGCTGCCTATGTGGGGTAGGCTGAATGTTAGGGGCTGGTTTTGTAGTACGGCTGTTGTTTATTACATCAGCGTACTGAACACCTGGATGTGTCAATGCCGAAGATGCTTTATATGCCATTGATTTGGCACGTGCTTCTTCCTTGGCTTTATTTATTTTTGCCATATAAGCTATTTTCATTGGGCATTTGGGGGAACTTGCAACATGCCCCTCTTTTTCGCAATTGACAAATTTAATGGTATTTCTAACTTCTTCTCCAGTATTTGGATCAACAATCGTAATTTCATCAATTCCCTGTTCTTTACCAGGTAGTGGACATTCCCCTGGACCATGAGGGTCGCAACATTTAACACACCTATATGGCATGCCGCATCCTGCAGAAGTATGTCCAGGTCTTTGACAATTTCGGCACTGTGTGTCATTTCTACCTTTATTCTTACGAATGCGTACATTCCAATTAAGAATTTTCTTGATTTTGTAAATTTTATTAATATCTGAGTGGCGTGCAAACCAAATTAACCATTTATTTTCTGAAATATTAATGGTTTCAATTACCTCAATTGGAAAGTTAAAATTAAAATTATTTTCCAAACAATTTTTAATTTCGTTTTCTGAAAATTCTCTGGAGAGATTTTCTACCACTACCTTATATGGTAAGAGAATTTTGGGTGTATGGGTGTGGTATTTTATACCAGATTCACCTAATTTCTGTGTTACCTTTGTAAAGTCTTCGAGAGATCTGACCTTCACATTTATTCTTGAATTTCTTAATAAAATTAATGAGTACTCACCGTGACCCAACCATTCGTTGATTAGTTTGGACATCTCTTCCGCACCGATATCGTATACAGTTATAGAAGTATTCGTTTTTCTACTGTCATTCTTATTATTAGATGTAGTTGGACTGCTAGCCGCCGGGACATCTGAAGATTTCTGCACATTTGAAGATTTCTGCACATTTGAAGATTTCTGCATATTTGTAGATTTCTGCATATTATTGCCGTTTGCCGGAATTTTGTCGATCTTGTTTGATTTCTGGATGTCGTCCTTCATTATCACTTTTCTATTTTTGATTTTTGCAATATTTTTCGTACCGTCCATACGAACAGAAACTGCTGGCAGTGCAGTTTGTACTTCTACTTCCATCGCAGTGCTGAGGTTTTCTGCTACCTCAGCCGACCAATCATTATTTGCATCTTTAGCATTTGTATGCTTATTGAATTCTTGCGATTTATATTTTTGTAATTCTTCACATAGGATATTACATTTTTCTTTTAGGCTTTTTAATTCGGCCATAAGCTGTGCATTGATGATTGCCAGCTTTGAAATTTCTAAAGATGATTCACTACTGTCACCTTCAGCTCTCTTTTTCTTTTTGCGTTTTCGCAATGAAATGTCTTTTATAGTTTTGGAAGTATCACTTGTTGCCGCATTTATGCTTGCATCACTTAGGTATTCGATGAGCATAGCCAATGCCTTATTTTCACAATTA